TCCACCTGACCCTTCTAAGTCCACCACTAACCTATGTCCCTCAGCACCACATCTCCAGGGCTTGGAAACCCCTCCAGGGATGGGGACTCCACCACTGCCCTGGGCAGCCTGGGACGGCCCTGGACAACCCTTGTGTCGGGGACAACACTTGTGCTGGAGGCACCAATCTGGACTTCTAAAACCGTGTGGTTTTGCCACACTTTTGAGTGGAGGAGAGCGAGAAGAGGGGTGTGGAAGTGGAGGTGACCACAGGATGCTCACCGCTGTCACAAACAGCCACCGACCCGTAGGCTTTCTGCTCCCGGATCCCCACGCTGAGCACCCCAAAGGGGGATGCCTCGTGCTCCACCTTATGGACGGCGAATTCTCCACCCAGATTCAACCCAGCCCAGGCGTAGTCGGTGCCAGGGATCGGCTTCCACGCGACGTTTCTCAGCGGGGTTTTGTTGAGCATCACCTCGGACGTCCCCGAGGTCTTGGCGATCAGCAGGGCGTAGTTCTCGTAACCGTCCAGGGTGAAGATGTTGTAGGAGTGGCAGTAGCTGGAGACATCTGGGATGCTCATAAAAAAAGGGTCGTAAGAGACGGCGCCCTTGTTACCGCCGTCGGAAAAAAAAATGACCTGGACCCCAGCGCTGGCCGAGAGGTACAAAGTGTTTGAGGCTTGGAGCCCGTAGAGCGTGGACCGGCTGGGCCGCAGCTCCCGAACGCTCTTGGTGGCCCCGTGCTGGGACTCCACACGCGTGGCCTGGGAGGTGGAGACGTAGACGATGTCGGACTGAGTCTCGAAAGGCAACGGCGGCACTGGAGACGGGCTGGAGCTGCTCCACCAAATGGTCGCAGTGGGCAAACCTGGCCAAGCACGTGTGGCCGGTGAAGACGGCCACGGGCTTCTGCGCCACGACCCTCGTGCCAGACATGTCGGATGGGCTTTGGAGCTGGGCCGCTTGGAAGGGTTCCAGTTGGATGGACAGCACTGAGCCCCGTGGGTAAGAGCGGCCTTGGTAGGTCACCGTGGCTTTGAGGTGCACGTCAACCGTGGTGGGCTCGTCCCAGGCGGCCACCACGAACTGGCCGTAGCGGTCCGTGCCCACGTTGGGTGTCACGACGTAGTACTCGGTGCCCCAGCTGTGCACTGGGTACACCACAGTCGAGTCAACCGAGGTGGGCTTCTCGTTGACCATCACCAAGGAGACGGCGTTGTTGGCCCTCACCACCACGGTGTTGTCAAAGCTTTTGCTCCCCACCATCTCCGCCTGGGGCGGGATCTTCACCAGGATGGTCTGGCCCGTGGTCGCCTGCACCGTCATCCTCAAGCCCGGCTTCTTCATGGAGATGGTTACGGAGGTGAAGGGCGAGTAACCCGTGATGAACAGCTTGAAGTCGCTGTTGAGGGTCTGCTGCAAGCCGTTCTGCATGAAGGCCACCACGAAGTCCTCCCCCAGGTGATGTGGGGCTGGGGTGGCAACGCTGAGCAAGGAGAAGACACCTGGGAAAGGACAAGGAAGAGGAGGAGAATGGGCCACTGGTGCCTTCAGCAGCCAGGAGGCTGGTGGACCAAGAGTCAAGGTGGCCTTGAGGTGGCACCTGGTGTAATCTTAAGGAAGATTAAGGGTAAGGAAGAGTGATCTGGTGGAGTGTTGATTTGATGGACTGTTGATTTGATTGGATTTTGATTAGATGGACTTTTGGTTTGATGGGATATTATTTTTGAGAAATAATGTCAATCAACATTGATTTGACAAACTATTGATTTGATGAACTTTTGGTTTGGTGGGCTATTGATTAGATGGACTTTTGATTAGATGGACTTTTGATTTGAGGGGTTATCAAGTTGGAGAAAACAAAGTTTGTGGCCTTCAAGAACTATGGAATTAAAGAAATTATTTTGAAGGACACTTGGAGAGGATCAGAAGTTTGAAGAAATGGCAAATTCCACCCCAAAATGTGTCGGGGGGGAGGGGGGGGGAATCTTTTCTGTGTGGTTTCCCTTCAACATGTCCTGTTGGGGGAATTTTGTCCCATTTGGAATCACTTCATGGGGTGAGGGTGCCAAATGTGGCCTCTTGGACTGGAAAAAAATCTTATTTTGAGGCAATTCACATTTTGGGGGGAATTTTACAGATGCATTTCTCTGCCCTGTTTGAACTCACCCCATAGGACGATGGCCCCGACCCGCAGCAGCTCATCAGCTTTTCCCCAACCTGGGCTGCTGGCCATGGCTGCAGAAGGTAAGAAAATGATCAAATTTAATGACTTTTTAAAAAAATGACACATTTGCCCATAATCAAAAATTCGGAGATTTATTGCACTTGCACGTGTCTCAAAATTCAACATTTTATTGCTTTCAGACTCCTACACATCCCCCAAAATCTGCTTGTTTTGCCCTTGCACTCATCCACAAAATCACTGGTTTATTGTATTTGCCCCAAAGCTCTGTTTTTCTCTCTCAAACTCACTCGAAATTCTGTTTGTTTTTTTTTTTCACTCATCCTTAAGGCACTATTTTATTGCACTTACATCTGCCCCCAAAATCTGCTTTTCTGGTGCATTTGCGAGCACGAGGGACCCGCCCCCCACAATCACATCCCATCTCCATGGAAACCGACCCAGGACGAGGCATTTGGAGCCCCCAAAACTTTTACAAAGCTCAAGCTTGGAGTGGATTTGCCCCTCCTGATTTTTTTCCTCCTTTTCTTTTTTCCTCTTTCCCCTTTCACCCTTTTCCTCTCCTTTCCTTTTTCCTCCTTTCACCGTTTTCATTTTTTCCTCCTTTTCCTTTTTCCTCCTTTCACCATTTTCCTCTTTTCCTCCTTTTCCTTTTTCCTCCTTTCACCATTTTCCTCTTTTCCTCCTTTTCCTTTTTCCTCCTTTCACCATTTTCCTTTTTTCCTCCTTTTCCCCCACATTTTCCCTTATTTATTTTGCCCTGTTTTCCTTTTTCCCCTCTTCCCCCCCACCCCCTCTTTTTTCCTCCTTTCCCCTCTTTTCCTTTCCCTCTATTTCCCCTTTCCTCCTCTTTTTTCATTTTCCTCCTCCTTTCCCTTTTCCCCTTTCCCCCTTTCCCTCTCTTTTCCTTTTTCCTTTTCCTCCCTTTTCCCAATTTTCCATTTCCCCCCTTTTCCCCTGTTTCCCTTGTTTATTTTACCCCCTTTTCCTCCCTTTTCCCTTTCACCCTTTTCCTTTTTCCCCCTTTCTCCCCTTTTCCCTATTTTTCCCCTTTCTCCCTTTTTCCTCCCCCCTGCCCTTTTTACCTCGTTTTCCTTTTCTCTCCTTTTTTCCCTTTTCTTCCAGCTTTCCCCCATTCCACACTCTCCCCTCCCTCCCCCCAAATCCCCTCAAACAGCCAAATTCAGCTGCCGACAGGAACAATCTCAGGAATTTAGGGGATATTTGAGGAATTTCCAGATGCACCACACCTTGGGCACTTTTTTTTAAAAAAAAACCAACAAAAACAAAACCCAAAAACCAACAAAAAACCCCCAACCCTTTCTTTCTCTCTCCATTGAACCTTACCTGCCTCTGAGGTTTCCTGCAGCTCCAAAAAGCTCCGTTTTACCCTCAAATCCTGGAGGCAAACACCCAGTGCGACCCTGGGGCTGCCGCCTCCTGCTGCTTTTATTGGGGTTTTTTTTTTACAGAAAGAGGGGAAAAAAAAAAAACCATGACAAACCCAGACGACCTCAAGGGACCGACCCACCCAGAGCTTTGACATCATCGTTGGCAAGCAAAAAAAAAGGATGAAAACGGGGGAAAAAAACAAAACAAAACAAAACAAAAAACCCACATTATTTGGATTAATGTCAGGCCCAAAAGGTCAGAATTACTAAACGTTTTTTTGTTTTGTTTTTGAGGGGTTTGCTGATGGAGTTGAAATTGCCCCAAAATGACAAGTGGGGGTGCAAAGCAAGTGGGGGTGGTTGGTTTCTTTTAACGAGTGGTGTTAATGAGCCAAAAAAAAAGTAAAACAAAACAAAACATTAAAAAAAAAAGAGGAAAAAAGGGGGGGATAAAAAAATTCCTTTTGTGGGGTGATGAACAGGGTCGAGGTGGAGGGGGGGGTTGTGTGTCAGGGTGGGGTGGGGGTGTTGTTTTGGGGGGGGTGGGTGTGATTGGAG